GATTGACGGTTGAGAGGCGGGACCAAAGAACCAGAGCTCAACCCCCGCAAACACAACTAGGTGAGTACAACTAGGTGAGTACACACACACTGTTTTTATTTATTGGACTGTCTGGAATGTTATTTTAATTTTTGTTCATATTTTTTGACTGCTAGAAAACTTCGTTAAAATAATTACCATGAGAAAAGTAAACTAGTTGCTTTAATATAACAAGCGGCACTTGTATGGAATCTTATCTCATTAACCACTAAACCAAACTTGATAAAGTCAAGAAGTATGCCACCAGATTAATCCCCAGAGCTGATACGTGTGAAATACTAGAAAATAATAAGGAAATATTCCTCATAGTACTGGAAAAGAGAGAACTTGGGAGATATGATCATCACATACAAAATATTGATTGAAATACACCGGGCAGATAAGAACTGACTATTTAGAATTTTGTAGTGAATAATTAAGGAAGTTCTGCGACGTTAAACTATTATTTTAATGCACTTGTGTAGAAACTACATACTCAACTTTCAGTGTGGATAATAAACAGCCCAAAAAGATCGAGAACTTGAATACCTGATGATTTAAGGGTGAGAGTCGATACCTTTGAGTTGAAACTCATCTATTTCAAGCATAACTAGATAAGTTCAGCCAAACTAGATGAAGCTCAAAGGTATCTTAAAAGAGTAGTTTCTAACCTTAGAGTACAGAGGTATGAGGTAAGGCTAATCAAACTATACTTCACCATACTGGAAAATAAGAAGAGCAAAATGAGACATGATCGCAGCATACAAGATTCTTAGAGACATTGACAAATTTAAAACAAATCAAACTGTTAGCATGAACAGAGGAAATTACTTCTTAAGTATAAGAACAGTGAGTGGAAAGGACAAGAATATATGATTGTGAAATGGCAAAAAATATATGATTGGGAAATGGCAAAAAATATATGATTGGGAAATGGTAAAAAATATATGATTGTGGAAAGAAATCAGAAGCAAAGATTTAGGATCAGATAAGAACCAAAAGGGTCGGGATCCATTGCAGCCAGCGCACCACAGACAGATATATTTAAGTAAACTCACACATGTGTGTGTGTGTGTGTGCGTGTGTGTGTGTTGTGTGTGTGTGTGTGTGTGTGTGTGTGTGTGTGTGTGTGTGTGTGTGTGTGTGTGTGTCAACAAAGTTGTGGCATTAACAAAATCGCGAGAACAAGTCTCCAATATATAAACATTACTAAAAACAGCAAATGAATGATTGCCACCACATCAATAGCGAGATACTCATCCTTCCCTGTCCAACCAATTGGGCTGGACAGTAGAGCGACGGTCTCAGTTCATACAGGTCGGCGTTCAATCCCCGACCGTCCAAGTGATTGGGTACCATTCCTTTCCCCCCCGTCCCATCCCAAATACAAATCGGGACCCCTTCCAAGTGATAATTAGTCCTAATAGCTTGGCGCATTTCCCCTGTTAGCTCCCGTCACATCTCTCCGAAAGAGGCCTCGACCGACGGCTCGGGGGAACATTTCTCTGGCCGTCGGCGACCCTGGAAGAGAGTCCTCGCTACTGCTCTAACCCCCTCATCAACACATATATAATAGTCCATCGGCTCTCCCTCTTCTCTTCACTCCAAGGGCGTCCTGTCCGGTACCTGCTGCCCCTCGCCACTCCCAGTCACTATTTAGCTCAACACCATCCTGTCTACCCACTCACTATAACCCTCAGATAACGTTCAGGCAGAGAGCTTGTTGCCTATATGTGTCCTGGGCTTTGTGATCGCCCTGTAGCACACACTGAGCTTACCAAGCGAACCCAAATTGGTTCAGCGCAAGAACATCGAGCGAGTTTGGTGGGTGGCGCAAGGCAGGCCGCCAGCAGCAACCTGTCTTGGCTAGTGTGTGTTGCGTGGGGGGGATATATAAGCCGTTGGAAGCACGTCGCAGTCCACTGAACCTCTGTGACCCTTGGCGTTGTGTCCGACCTTCCCCTTTCACACGCTACTGCTTGTGTTTGGTTTTCTTTCTGTTAGTGGCAGCTCATGTGTTTCTGTGGCAGCTCCACATGCTCCTGTGGCAGCTCCACATGCTCTTGTGGCAGCTCCACATGCTTCTGTGGCAGTTCCACATGCTCTTGTGGCAGTTCCACATGCTCTTGTGGCAGCTCCACATGCTTCTGTGGCAGTTCCACATGGTTCTGTGGCAGCTCCACATGCTTCTGTGGCAGCTCCACATGCTTCTGTGGCAGCTCCACATGCTCTTGTGGCAGCTCCACATGGTTCTGTGGCAGCTCCACATGCTCTTGTGGCAGCTCCACATGGTTCTGTGGCAGTTCCACATGCTCTTGTGGCAGCTCCACATGCTCTTGTGGCAGCTCCACATGCTTCTGTGGCAGTTCCACATGGTTCTGTGGCAGTTCCACATGGTTCTGTGGCAGTTCCACATGGTTCTGTGGCAGTTCCACATGCTCCTGTGGCAGTTCCACATGGTTCTGTGGCAGTTCCACATGGTTCTGTGGCAGTTCCACATGGTTCTGTGGCAGCTCCACATGCTTCTGTGGCAGCTCCACATGGTTCTGTGGCAGTTCCACATGGTTCTGTGGCAGTTCCATATGGTTCTGTGGCAGTTCCACATGGTTCTGTGGCAGTTCCACATGGTTCTGTGGCAGTTCCACATGGTTCTGTGGCAGTTCCACATGGTTCTGTGGCAGTTCCACATGCTCTTGTGGCAGCTCCACATGCTCTTGTGGCAGCTCCACATGGTTCTGTGGCAGCTCCACATGCTTCTATGGCAGCTCCACATGCTTCTATGGCAGCTCCACATGCTCCTGTGGCAGCTCCCAACTGTGCAGAGTATCCAGCAACAACGCAAATTCAACGCAAAGGCACGATTATCACCTTCAATTAAACGTCAAATTCACGTTGATAACGTTGAATCATGATGCATTAATGTCGCTAACGTTAATTTTACGTCGAACCAACGCCGCTCTTCGATAGTACGTCAACTGGCTCACTGTCTGTGAGGGTGATGTGGCAAACTCCAAGCAATATAAACAAAACGGTATTTGTTTACTATGTAATGATGTCTCAGTGGGCTTCGTTATTTCGATACTGGTGACATCGTTTGCTCTTAATTACCCTGTTGCCTGTTATCCTTGTTTGCTCCTAGTTATCCTGTTGACTGTTATCCTTGTTGATATGTTATTTATGTTGCATTTGTTATTCCTTGCATTGTTCTTGTCGCTGCTGCTTGTTTTAAGTTTAACTACCACTTTACGATGATCTTAATGACCCTTAACACTTCCACCACTTCCAGGTTTGTTCTTGATTTTTTTGTTTACAATGATATAGGTTTAAGTGGTTAGTGGTTAGTGGTTAGTGGTTAGTGGTTAGAGGTTAGGGTAAAGTTATGTTAGGTTACATTATGTTAGGCGAGGATAAGTTAGGTAGGGTAAGGCTAGTTAAGTTCGGCAGTTAGGTGAGAATAAGTTAGGTAGGGTTAGGCTAGTTAAGTTCGGCAGTTAGGTGAGAATAAGTTAGGTAGGGTTAGGCTAGTTAAGTTCGGCAGTTAGGTGAGAATAAGTTAGGTAGGGTTAGGCTAGTTAAGTTCGGCAGTTAGGTGAGAATAAGTTAGGTAGGGTTAGGCTAGTTAAGTTCGGCAGTTAGGTGAGAATAAGTTAGGTAGGGTTAGGCTAGTTAAGTTCGGCAGTTAGGTGAGAATAAGTTAGGTAGGGTTAGGCTAGTTAAGTTCGGCAGTTAGGTGAGAATAAGTTAGGTAGGGTTAGGCTAGTTAAGTTCGGCAGTTAGGTGAGAATAAGTTAGGTAGGGTTAGGCTAGTTAAGTTCGGCAGTTAGGTGAGAATAAGTTAGGTAGGGTTAGGCTAGTTAAGTTCGGCAGATAGGTGAGAATAAGTTAGGTAGGGTTAGGCTAGTTAAGTTCGGCAGATAGGTGAGAATAAGTTAGGTAGGGTTAGGCTAGTTAAGTTCGGTAGTTTTATTTCTAGAACTATATACAATCTGACAGGTCTTTTTATCACAATGAAGAGCTTTTGGGGTTGTATATGGTTCGAGTGGTACGCTCCGGTGTTCGGTTATGGTGATAGATTATCCGAACTGTCAAAAAGTGACCAGCGGCGTCCTCGTCGATCTGCGAGAGTAGTGTAAATGACGACGTTCTCGTTGATCAGTGACAATAATATTAACTACAATGTTGTCGTTGATCAATGATTGTAACGTCAACCATTAAGTTGCTGTCAAAGGACTGTGGCAGTTTTGAGTTCCTCTCTGTGTACTACAGCATATAGGTTGCTGCTCTTACGGTCTATATGGCTTCTCCTATTGCCCAAGTGAATTTTGTTTGCTATATTGGTTTTCCTGTTTAATTTGCTACTTTTTTGTGTTGCATAAGTTTCTATACCAGTTGATTATATGACTTTGGTTGCTTCTGTTGCACATGTAGCTTACACTGTTGCTTATGTAGTTTCTATTATATATATATATATATATATATATATATATATATATATATATATATATATATATATATATATATATATTATTCACATTATCACGTGTTAACTTCTACGCGATTTACTCAGGATTGTTTAATAAATTATTCATTAAATTAGCAGTAATGTCCCACTGTACAACACGCCCACTTCTTCTCAAAGTTTCAAAATGTATCGTTCAATTTAACTTACAATGACGATTAGCCCAACCCACCGAGAAACCCCCCCCCTCCCCCCTCGCCCCATCCCCAGGACCCCCCCCCCTCCCCCCTCGCCCCATCCCCAGGACCCCCCCCCCCCTCCTCGTCCCCCTTAATAAAAACGTAAACCAACGCTAAGAGTCCCGGATATAGTTAATTCTGATTAGGCTTCTCTAGCGTTGAGGGCGTTTCTGAGTACACTAGTTTTAGCAAGCAACCAAAGGCGGCAAGCAAGCAAGCAAGTAAGCAAGGCAACAGGCAAGCGATAATGTAGCTATGCTAGCAAACAAGTAAGCGTGGCAGCCATGCCGCAAGCAGGACACGAAGCAAGAGACGCAGCAAGCAAGTTAGCAAGCAAACCATTGAAGCAAAGCCCCCTATGGAAGGTAGACAGCAAGCAAGAAGGTCAGTAGAAAGTCCCCAAGGAAGGCAAACAAGGCAGCGAGGAAGGCAGTAAGCAAGGCAACAAGCAAGGTAGCAAGGCAGGCAGTAAGCAAGCGTAGCCAATGTATTAATATTAGGCGTGTCAGTAGGGGGGTGTTTAGGGATGAGCTGTTCACCTCGGCCACCCAGACTCTGCACTAAGGCTGTGTGTGTGTGTATGCCTTCTGGCGACAGTGTTGCACACTCTACTGCAGGGTGAGACCCCAGGTTCGATCATAATCTTTTTTTGTGTTTACAGTGGTTATGGGGTTTGTTTTTGATCTGCAGATTTGATATTGTGTAAAAATATGGTATTTACAGTCTCCCGCCTTATAAAAGGTTACTTATATTATACAAATATTGTGGTTATACAATGGGATTGAACACTTATCCATGGATTCCCATCATGTAGTGATGTAAATGTTGGGTTTAAGCAAGCTTTGTTTCGAAAATGATGGCGCTGGTGGCAACTATTGACGGAATATGCAAATTATGGATTATTTCACTAAAAGCAATCGTGTTACAATATGCCTACGAAGAATGGTCCATGTTGTTGCCAGTACCTTGCTTGACAAGGTACGGGTTCCATGCTGAGGCCGCATACTCCAGGATTGGTCTTACATATGCGGTATACAAGGCGCTGAATGATTCCTTACACAGGTTCCTGAAGGCTGTTATGATGTTAGCCAGTCTTGCGTATGCCGCAGACGTAATTCTTTTTATGTTGACTTCAGGAGACAGGTTTGGTGTGATATCAACTTCTAGATCTTCTGTCCGTTTCATGAAGTATTTCATCTTCCATTCGGTATCCTGTGTCTGGCCTCCTGTTTCCACCGCCTGGTTTCATTACCTTGAATTTACTCGGGTTGAACTTTAGTAGTTCAACCAGTGTGTGTGTGTGTGTGTGTGTGTGTGTGTGTGTGTGTGTGTGTGTGTGTGTGTGTGTGTGTGTGCATAAGAGTGGGTATGAGAAATGTATTAATCTTTGTTATCCATGTGGTAGCTCTGTAACTGTTGCGTTTTATGTTTGACATAAACTAGAATTCTATGGAGTTTCTTGTATTAAAGTTATAGATGGAAGTAGCTTTCACGACGTCGTCGTCTCTCCCTCCCCCTCCGTGACCTCTCTCTCTCTCTCTTTCTCTCTCAATTTAAAACAACAAATACTATGACGAACTTTAAATTCTTACAACAAATCTTATAATATCGTCAAAAAGGGGCTGACCTCAGATCTGAATACTTTGTGCTGACCTTAGGCAAGATCAAGTATCTCCCGGATTACGTTCAAGTTCATCTTCTAGTGCCACGCTCTCTCATAACTATTCCATGCTCAAAACAAGATAATTGAGCGTCTAAGTCCATGAATAAGATAAAGATAAGGAAGGAATAAATGCGTCAAATCATGAAGAAGCAGGTGATAAGGGGTGAATAGTTTTGTGCATAAAGAAGATAGTGATTTGCAGGAGGTGAATTGGATTACAAGTGATAAAATAAGGCCACAAAAATACAATTATACAACAGAAAAACTAAATTATTCAATACCTTTTCGTTGACCAAAGTGAGGTTCAGCACTAAGTGGATGAGTGTGTTATGAGGTGATGACTTTCAGTGAGGCTCAGTCTGTCGGCCAGGAAACAGGAAACAAAAAAAAGATGAGGGATTTATGACGTTCTTGTGAGGTGATTGTAAGTCAGGTAGAGATAATAAGATGTGAAGTTTGATCATTGCTTAACAACTAAGAAGCACAACAATCATCTTATAATTTATGCTTTATTGGGTGTAAACTAATTTTTTTTCCTCGTTTTAAAGTTTGTAATTATTTTTGTTTATCTTTCACATTACCGGAATATTTAGTAATTTCTCATAATTCTTCCTATTCTCACTTCCCGTTCACTCCTATTTTTCCTTCATTTATCATCAGTCACCTCTTAGTATACCACAAGAAAACGAATATTCACTTTAAAGAAATGACAAGTACCTGTCACATTGATCTGATCATGTTAGTCAACATCACAAAAGCTTTGAACTCCATGAACGGGTAGGAGCTTATTCCTCCTTAAGCGGCTGGAAAGGCACTGAGCTCCATAACCGGTTGGTAAGAGATGAATTCCATGAGTGTGGAGGCTACAGGAGACCGGTTTGGTGGAGAGTACAGCACAACACGTTAACCTTGTCATACTGTACCCGCTACAAAATTCCTAATACGGCATAAGGCGATTTTCTGAATATATTTATCAATAACTCTGTTAAGTCCATATTTTGCAAATACATTTTTTTGCTAAATATTCTATGTCTATCAACGTGGGAGCCAGACTGCTGTATGTGGGTTCTCAACTTAATACGTAAAAAGAGGTTTCTGATCCTTTTAACTGAAAATTTTCCAAGCATATGGCACTCTAGCTAACATATAATTAGGTTCCTGAATCAATAGCTGACCAATATATAGTGATTGCCACCATCTCTGACATCATTAGAACCCCCAATACAATCACTATCATCACTACCATTGACATTGTGCCACTATTCTCACAATAGCCACCATCGCTGCTACCACCATAGCAACCACCACCATCAACCCATACACCATAGTACACATCACTCATTAGCAAATGGATTTTTCTATCAACATTGATTTTTCTAAGGAAATTTAAGTTTCCCTTGGTAAGCATGCAGCTGAAAAATTACTAATTGCTTTTACCTACATGAGTGATTCCTTGAACACAAAATTTATTCATTCATTCATTCACATTTATGGAAAATCTTGAACAATTCACACTCAAGATAAGTCTTGAACATTTCCTCACTGTTTAATATAGCTTATTTAAAAAAATTAAATGCTGGCTTTCAATTAGTGTTGCAGATGTAGGGAACAAGTTGCAAAGTCACTTATTATGTCGAGATTATTCTTGTTGCAAGATTGCAACCAGAGATAAGGAAAGCAGGGTATGGAGCCAAGTCAAAGGATTTGAATACAACTACACTAAACGAGCGAAAGTCCAGGTGAGAAATGATCGCAACATACAAGATATTGAAGGAAATATAAGAAGGTAGATAGAGGCAATCGTTTTCACAAGAAGGAAATGAAAACGAGATAAAACGAGAAAGCTAGACACCCGAAGGACTCAGACAAGCGTGCCAAAGACATATTTATATGTACTATAGACCGTAATCACGTGAAATAAGCTCATAGGTGTTGTGTAGTATATTTTCTTCCTCAGACGTGGCCATACTAATTTACAATGATAACGAGGATATACATTTTCTATAATCCTTCATGGACTTGGTCAGAGTTGTGTTAGGCAATCATCAAAGGTGATTGTTGAGAGAGCTGCAAGATACGTCTATACCCCAGACGTAATCTGGCAGTCTTCTCGTCTCCTCGAGTACCGTGTCCTCACGGTATTCATCATAATGTGTAATCCATGGTCGCTAATGAACAAATCCACAAGGTCCGTGACGAGGATTCGAACCTGCGTCCGGGAGCATCCCAGACACTGCCTTAATCGACTGAGCTACGACAGGGTAAAAGGGTTTACCCTGTCGTAGCTCAGTCGATTAAGGCAGTTATTGGGATGCTCCCGGACGCAGGTTCGAATCCTCGTCACGGCCCTTGTGGATTTGTTCATTTGATGCATCACGTTAGTGTGATCTCTGTGTGCCATGGTCGCTACTTTCATTCACAACTAAAATAATAATTACGGAAGAGTGCTAAGGAACAGCGGCGGAGTAAATTAGAAGTATATCAATGTTTGGTGTCAGTAATTAAGGAAATAATTTTGTTTAGACAAATGGGTTCAGTCCTAACATCTGACTAAACCAATATTAAATATCGATATCGGAATATCGGCCTTTTTATTGTATCAATTAATAAAGAACTACTTAGTTGATTTATGGAAGAGCTTACAAGGGTAACATGACGTGGGATCACTGTATTGTTTCAAGCGTAGGCTAGACATACATAATGAGTTTGGGTGGATATAAGTAGGAGTTGCTTCATATGGGTCTAAAGGTATTTTTCCAGTTAACGTTATTTGTATTCTCCTATCGGTATCCAATAAAACATTGGTATGATACTTCTCAAGATTAATGCAGTTTTAATTCCTGAGGCGGAGCTCAGGAATTAAATCTCTCTCTCTCTCCCTGAAGGCCCAAATAGGTAAGTTCATACATTCCACAATACTCTACTAAACCTTGAGCACTGAAGAAAAAAAACATGCTCTGTTTTTTGTGAGTTTGTACCTAGTCTTTATAAAATTTATATATAAAGAAATATTGTTAATAATATTATTAAAATAAACAGTCATTAATACCTCTTGGTAACATCTATTAGACTAAATTTTGTGTGAATCTCAACATTGAAATATTTATATACTGGATGATTTATAAATTAGTTGAATTACTATGAAGTTATGTTGTTACTGTTTTTTTTTTGTTAATGTGATACGTATGAAAGTTTATGTGTGTACTCAACTATTTGTGCCTTCAGGATCAAGCTTTAGCTCTTGGATACCCTCTTTTTCGCCGCCGGATGTCTAATGCAGTGACTCTTGGCCAATTTCCCTCTCATATCTACTTTTAGAATTACGATTAGTGTTTGCTTTTACAACCTGCTCCTCTAGTTCCTTCCATATTCCGACTAATAGTTCGTTAAAACTAAATTTTCTAACATCTCTGTAACTCATGTGAGTTCCAAGTTTCAATTCATATCCTCTAGTTCTATTAACATTCATTGTGAACATTTTCCCAACTCTGTCAACCTTCCTAAGTATTATATACGTCTTTATCATGTCTCCCCTTCTCTCTCCTATTTTCTAGCGTCGTCAGCTTTAGTTCCTTCAGTCTCTCTTCATACTTCTCAATTCTGAGACGAGCCTCGTTAGAGACTTCTAATCATTTTTCAGTTTCCTTATGTGTATTTTAGACAGGGGCTCCAAGATGGGGCTGCATATTCTTAAACTGGTCTCACGTAGGCAGTATACAGA